ACTCATGTAGAAGATTATCTATAACTGGTACAATAACAACTTACAAGAAGCTTACACAGCAGCTTGCAGTAGGAGCTTACAAGCAGCTTATACAGCAGCTTGCAGTAGCAGCTTACACAACAACTTCCTTTCTTCTATAAATAGAAGAGATTTTAGTTCATTATGTACATGAGTTTGAAGTTGAATAATATATCAATCTCTCTCTATATTTGTGTTCGATTTATTTACTTTACAGTTTTTATTTTATTACACATTATCATCACGAGACTCTACCATATCGAGCACTTACTTTGAATTTTGTTTTTCTATTTCAGGATAAGAAGTAATTCAAAGTCACAATACTGAGGGAACTAATAGATGGTGCCCAACAGAAAATCCGGAAGAAAAGCAAGTCTCTACATAGTTAGAGAAATCAAAGGCTTAGCTTGTGTATTTCTAGCTATTATGATTATTTGGTGCCGAAGCACCGATTGCTCGGAGGTATCAAGTATTATTTGTTTCATTAATTACTCATCTTAGCTATTAAAAGTGTTATAAAGAGCAATCATGTATATCATGTAAGAGAGAAATTTGCATCGGTGCATGCGTATCGCTAATGATTGAAAGAGATTTGTCACCTCCAATAGGTAATTTTTTTAAATCCATCCAATCTTCCTATTATCACTAGGAGTGATAAATTTGCTCCTGCATAGCATTGCTTGAACTCCAGTAGAGTTCATGAGAAATATAAGATCACTAGAAGTGATTATATATTTTATATCGTCTTATTGTAACTAAATTTTATTAACCACCAGAAGTGGTATATGCCTATGACCACTAGAAGTAGTAATAGGCTTTTATCGTTACAATTGAAGATAATCTAGAGAAATATTCTCTATATTACATGCATGCCTCAATTTACTCCCGAAGTAGCATTATCTTAAAAGAGGTTCTAAGACATCACACAATTTGGTGTGATTAATGCACGTTCAGATAATTATGTTCCATTTCCTGAAGGATGAGAACTTTTGATAAATATTAATCCATTCCCTGAAGTGAATATGACAATATTAATAAAGCTCATAAATATGAACGCGCTCTTGATGTAAATATATTACAATTCACCTCCAGAAGAGGTAATATGATTGAGAGAATATATAGTCAACATTTCGTATTTTAAATTTGCTCCTGAAGAAGTAACACAATTAAAATTTTCTCCTGAAGTAGGAAAATATTATGAAGAGGTATTTTCTTGTGCTTAAACAATTGTTTTATATTGTTTATTTGATTATGATATTCTCTCATGCTACCAGAAGTGTATGAACAATATTTGATAGTACAAAATGTATCAACAATTCCTGAAGAGCTAACTGTTTGTCTAGAAGACACATGACACCAGTAGTGTCCGATAAATATTAGATTGTGGATAATAAATGAAGGTTCTCTAACAACTTATATACAAATATGTTATTCATATTATATGATTATGGTCAAAACATATTTTGTAGTAAACCTGAAGTTTACTAATACAAATGGCTATCATATTGAGACTACAAATGATTAGAAGATTGAAAATCTTCATGTTTGTGAAATAGGGGGTAAAATAATATGTATGTGAGAAGTGACCCGCCTTATTCTTCAATTTGTACTATATCATGTATCACAGTAAACCAGAAGTTTACTAATGCAAAAGCAGTCACAGTAAATCAGAAGTTTTACTGAGGCAAAAGTAGCTATAGTAAATCAGAAATTCGCTGATACAAAAATAGCCACAGTAAATCAGATGTTTACTAATGCAAAAGTTTATGCCATAGTAAACCAGAAGGTTACTAAGAGATAACACATGCCATGATAAACTTGAAGTTTTCATTTGCCATTTTTAAATGAGCTATTTGAGAATTCATATAAGCATATACTGAAGAACTAGAAGATTGTTCAAGAATTCTCTTGTGTTGCTTGTTCTCATAATAAATTGATTATACCAACTAAAGTTAGGACTAAGACCCCTGAATTCTGGAATATATAAAAGGTGAATATTGGCCGATTCACCTATCATGTGAACCACTTATAGATGCATATATGAGATGGTTACATGTGTGTTTATTGTCAACCTGCAATTTGGCATTTGAAATTATTTTTTCTCAATTAAGAGCATAATTTTCAGATTATGAAATCAAGATAGTTCATCTTGATGATGCTGGTTTATATCTAAGCTAGTTTAGCATTGAATACCTCATATTAATGGCTAAACTATTGATTATGAGAACAAAGCCTCATGTGTTGGCCTAAAATTTTCTAAATTGCATACAACAACACTTGTATGCATTAGACCAACAAAATATGATAAGTCCTCCCCTCACAATTGGTTTAGGATTAGAAACCAAATATTTTTACTATCTAATAACTTTTGATGTGTAGTATATGATTAATTTCTCTACCACAATGCACAAAGATAGATTTTCCAAAGAAGATTGGGGATATGTGTTAGTTTTTCTAACATTTGGGGGGGTGGAATAAACAACTGAAAAATATGCTATATGAATCGAATTATCATTAATATTATCCTCACTTAGAAGATAATTCAAGTCAAATGCCAGAAGCATTTGCTAATCAAAAATTAAATATCATATTTCAGTTGCAAATGCTTCTATTAAAATTAAAGTCCTTGAAGGATAAAGTTTACTGCATGCATGAAGCGTAGTAAACTGGTCGGTTCCAAAGGTAACAATCCTTGAAAAATAATAGGAGCAAATGATCAAAATGATCAAAATGAGAAGGAAATGAGCTCTAGAAGAGCCCACGACATAACATTTCATGAAACTACAGAAGAAGTTCAGGTACCTGAAAATAAAGAAAGTGATGAGATCTCAACAAGTTATGTCGCTTAGGAACCGATACAAAATGATCGTCGACGATATATTTGATACAATATAATTCACAATATTGTAAAAAATTATGAGGATCGGACCTGTAGTGCAGACACCTGAAGATGCCATGCCATCTAAATGCAAGCCATAACCTATATGGCTCATTTGTTTAAGTCTATATGAAGATCCCTGAAGGATTTAAAATGTCCGAAGCATATAGTTCAAAGTATCGTGAAATGTACTCAATCAGATTACAAAGATCTTTATACAGTTTAAATCAATCTGGGCGCATGTGATATAATAGCCTTAGTGAATATTTGCTGAAAGAATGTTACATAAATGATGTTATTTGTCTATGTATTTTTATAAAGAAAATGACATTAGAATTTGTTATACTTGTTGTTTATGTTGATGACATAAATCTTGTTGGAACTCCAGAAGAGCTCCAAAAGGCAATTGAATATCTTAAGAAAGATGCAAGATCTTGGAAAAATAAAATTTTATTTTGGTATGCAAATTGAATATTTAGCAGACGAGATCTTTATCCATCAATGTGCCTATACAAAAAGTGTCTTTAAACGCTTTTACATGGACAAAGCGCACCCATTAAGTACACTATTGGGTATTCGATCACTTGAAGTGAATAAGGATCCGTTCCGACCTCCAGAAGAAGATGAGGAACTCCTTGGTCCTGAAATACTCTATCTCAGTGCAATTGGTGCACTTATGTATCTTGCTAATGCTAACAAAGGTGGTGTAGATTGTATTGGTTATGCAGATGCAAGTTATTTATCCGATTCCCATAAAGCTCGATCTCAAATCGGGTATGTGTTTACATGTGGAGGTACTGTCATATCATAGCACTTCACAAAGCAATCTATTGCTGCTACTTCTTCGAAACATGCTGAGATAATAACTATTCATGAAACAAGTAGGGAATACGTATGGTTGAGATGAGTGATTCATTTTATTCGAGAAAAATATAGGTTGGAATGTGATAAAAAAAATTCACAATATTATATGAAGACAATACTTCATGCATAACCCAATTAAAGGAAGAATTCATAAAAGAAGATAGAACGAAACACATTTTACCAAAGTTATTTTTCACACATGATCTCGAGAAGAATGGTAAAATCATTGTGCAACAAATCCGTTCAAGTGACAATCCAACAGATTTATTCACTAAATCTTTACCAAATTCAACTTTTGAGAAGATAGTATACAAGATTGGAATGCAGAGACTCAATATTTGAAACAAAATTTTCATCAGGGGAGTAAAATACGCGTTGTACTCTTTTTTCCTTACTAAGGTTTTTCCTATAGGGTTTTCCTTATAAGGCTTTTAATGAGGCATCTAGCAATGCGTATTACTAGATATGTGTACTCCTTTTCCTTCACTAGAATTTTTTCCCACCGAGTTTTTCCTAATAAGGTTTTAATGAGGCACATTATCTTTTAATGAACATCCAATGGGGAGTGTTATAAATATATTATATTATGGATATCTATTTAGTACTCCGTTATAAATAAGCTTCCTGAAGAAGCTTATCCATATTGAACTCCACCATAAATATGCTTATATATTTAGTACTCTATTGGAAATAAGCCTCATGAAGAAGCTTATCATTTCGGTACTCCGTTGTGGATAATTATTGCTCCTGTAGAAGATTATTTATAACTGGTACAATAACAACTTACAAGAAGCTTACACATCAGCTTGCAGTAGGAGCTTACAAGCAGCTTACACACCAGCTTCTTTTCTTCTATAAATAGAAGAGATTTCAATTCATTATGTACATGAGTTTGAAGTTGAATAATATATAAATCTTTCTCTATACTTGTTTTCGATTTATTTACTTTACGGTTTGTATTTTATAACAACACATTTATTAAAAGTTCAGTTCAGATTTTCACTGACAAGCAAAGTCCCCATTCACACACCTCTCTATTCTACAACAAAATAAACTGTTAGCAGCCTTCCGTTTATTAATTTTGCGGTCCAACACTGTAACATTGTGTATGCGCTCCATTGAATAGCTCAAGCCTTAGCAACCTGCTTCGATGGATAATTCATCGACCTTTATTTCTATTCTGATGGACCAATCAAATAAATGAAAGTGAACAAAGTTGCATTTCCGCAGGAAAAGAAAAGAAAATTAAAATTCATCCTATTTTTCCTTCTCCGACGGATAAATCACTCTCATGGTCAGTAATGCAAAGCAAGGAGAGGGACATCTGCCTCGGAAATTAACAAGAAGAATAGAAGGAAGGTACTAACATACTTATAGTTCATTGTAATTGTACTAGCACACATAACACATGTACTTAAGGGTATGATGGGTTAAGAGGAAAAAACAGAAAGCAAAGCTGAGCAAAATTCAAGAACGCATCGATGTTTAGGAGTATCTGAGTGTTACACTCTTTGTGGTAAATTTTTACTGCTTACTGTTGAATAGAACGGAAACCAGACCCCTTTTCCACCAAGGTGTCACAGTTGGCTCGGTCTTCCCAGGAACAAGAGAAGTCAAACCTGTGCGAATACTTTCGGTTACTGAAGTATCCTGCTTGACCCTCGTCACTACAGGCCTGAAGAGGTATCAGTAAAAAGTTTAAGTAGTCTGGCATCTCTTTTACTTATGCTTGTATGAAACAGAGCATAAGGGACTAAATATTTAAAGATGGTTGTGCAATGCAAGAAAGTAACAGATTCATCCAACATGAAAGCATAATGAACATATTTCATAGAAAGGTATAACAACTTCTAGACATGGATTCTTGCACCACATTCGCATCCAAATATAACACAACAAATCAAGATAGCAACAGAAATTTAAAATGTAGTTAAAGGCACGGTTAGTTTCTCTTTTCCACATACTTAGTGTAAACAACCATGAGCTGTTTCAACAATTCAGACTTCAGCGGTTCTCTTTTTCTTCGGACGACTAATGGAAGCAATGTTACGGCTTTGAGTTCAATAACAAGGTGTGAACCATTGGTATATCCAATTTTTATACAGCAACTCTCTCCATTCAACTTTATTATTTGGCCTGGTTCTGTTTTTATCCATCCCAAAATTATGAATTATTCTTAGATGGCAAAGCTACCCACTTTAAGGAAGTCAATATAATACTTAATTCAAATCAACACCCAACGAAAGTACAGAGATGATAAACAGTATACATGAGACTGTTCAGAAGCAAGGACTTATAATGTTAAATACGCATAAAATAATCTGATAATTATGATTCCGAGAATGTGTGCAATGTGTGCCGCTCTGTGAGGCTCCCTTTCTTGATCGGAAGTCTTCCCTGCCGCAATTCAATTTTGATAAAATGAAATGTTCCCAAACCAAAATCTCTAATTTTTAAAAGAAAAATGAAATGCTACCCCAGTGCTCACCACTTAGGATGACAAACTCTCATGTGAGAGCTATCTCTATCCCTGTCTATACTTGGCATATCTCTATTTTAGTTTGTGTTAAACAAAATGAGATTCAAGTACTAGAAGCTTCAGGTTTTTACCTAACTGCATTATTTTTAATATTAAAAGAGATAAATAAGCCTTAGAATGCATACATGGTTGATATGAGACCTTCGGACGCAAATGTTGAATAGCCTTGTCTCTGTTTGTGCTTGGGATTAGCTGTGCATAGAACATATACTCGCCCACGCCGCTTGACTGTGCGACAGAACTCGCACATCTTCTTCACTGATGCCCTAACCTTCATGGCTGTTGATGATCCAAACCAGAAATGATGAGAAATTTATCCATGAGCATGACTAGGAAATACCACAAGCATTCACCAAAGTAAGATTTTAACTTTTCATAAATCAGACTAAGCAAAACAACGAAAGGAACTATAGCTTGATTAGCACAAAGTTTAGCTTGCTTTCTGCCTAAATTACAATGTCCACAACTGCCAAAATTCACCTAAGGTACCATGCCATCCAATGATGGATTCAGGAATGGAAGTCCATATATAGATCACAATAAAGAATTTATTAAGTCCTAAAATCAAAATCCTTGAAAGTCTTCATATTTCAATCCCCAAGCCAATAGTTATTTATAAATTCTTAAAAAAGAAATGAAGAGTAAAATTAGGGCACAAGTTGAAGGAGATAACTGAACAAAATATTCAAGTAGAATAGTCAAAAGTGAAAAGCGCAAAAAACACCAGAGTTTGTTCGGTCTTTAAGCGCAAGGCGAAATTAAAGCATGGGCTTTAACAAAGAAAGGTGCTAATGAAGTATGTGTGTGTGTGTGTGTGTGATGTATTACCAAAAAAACAAAGAGAAACAATACCACTTGGAAAAAAGAATCGAACTAACTAAAATTATGCTAAATACATGAAGTAAAAATTATGTCAATCAAGTCTAAAACAATTTTTAAATTTCTGATTTAGATGAAAAGATGCAGTTTAATGTTCTCAAGAGCTAGTTTTTACATGAAATTTAAATTTATTATTCTTAATAACTAAAAATTTTACTCGTAACATTTCCTAGCAATTAGTATATCAGCTTCCCAACAATACTAATTGTTTACTACTACTCCTCTAAAGATAGAGCCCATGGGTGATGTGTTCCATGCCTTAGCACCTTAATGCCTATTCCAAATCGTCACTTAAGTGAGGCGAAGCACACAACCTGGGTTCAACTGAGCTGCAGGGCTTAAACGCGCTTACAAGTCTTTAGCAACAGTGTCTTCAATTTGAAGGTCCATTTTACATACAATTCACCCTCTCATAATAATATTCCATATTAATGATCTTATTCTTTCATTCTGTTTTCATTTTCTGAGATGTTTTTCAGAAAATTTACTGGAAATAGATAAATACATAATCAAAACTTTCGAGCCATCACAAAATGGGTTTGCAATAAGGGTTTAGGGTTTTAGCATATATGAAACATAAATAAGTAAATATGGGGGATGGAGAGAAAGAGAATTAGGGGTACCTACTTGATTTTGCCGGAGAAAGAGATCGCCGATGAGTTCGCCGCAGAAAGATACAGAGATTAAAGTTTAACAGCCGACGGAGAGGGGTGGCTATGCAAATTCGATTCAATCGATTTCACCAAAACATTCAAAGGAACCGGTGGGCCAAAATCTATAGCAATTTGGATCTAGAATTGAAGTCCATTTAGAATTTGGGCTTATTGATTTGAGGATGTGCAAGTCCAAATTATTCCATACAGTTTGGTCCTAGATTATTGGGATTTTTTCGTTCCTATACAATATTTGAAATTTATTTATCAAAATTATTCTATATTTATATATTACCCAACCTAACTGTATTTATCTTACGATTTATTATTAATACCTTAAATTAGGAGATTCAATTACACAATTTTCCTTTTTTCGCTCCTTTCCTCTTTCCCTATTCTCTGCCGCCTCTCTCCATAATCAATATATTATTAATGCCTTAAACTAAGGGATTCAGTTATGCCCTTTTTTCCTCCTCTCCTCTTTCCCTATTCTCTATCACCTCTCTCCACCCAAAAGTGTGGAGAGTTGAATATTGAATCCTCGATGCACAACTCCGTGAAACTCAAAATTTAAGTAAAAATGTTCAATACCTCCACCACCGTCGATGTAACACCAGCAACAGCAATAAAAACTCAACGATGATAAATTTGTATAGTACATCACTATACAAATTAAAAATAAAATTTCGTACAGATTTGATATATCTACAATAACATATAAACTAAAAATAAATTTTATAGAACTTATTTATAACTTATCTACAACTTTTATATATTATTTTTACCCAATTAAATATAATTACAACATCATATAACTTAAGTACAATTTTCATACAAATTTTACACAATTTATCTTTTGTATGTATTTTTTTTATATGATTTGTATATATTTTGTATGTGGTGTGTTCTTCCTCTCTAACATTCTAATCAAAACTTTCTCCTTTTAATACAATTTTGATACATATCAACGACTTTATGTATATAACTATCTTTCAACTTTCATACAATATTCAAAAAAAAATTTAAAACTATAACAGAATACAATTTAAATACAATTTACATACAACTATAATATAACTTTTATACAATTTTGTATGTATATTGAATGTCGTGTCTTCTTCTTCTTCTTCTTCGAGTTTCAATCTGAAATCCAGCCAAAATCAACTCTAATCTTCACCAAACACCCTCAAAATGAGATATAAACTTCAAAAAATATTTTCAATTATTTGCAACAACACCCAATCCAAACAAATAATATTTTTTTTAAAACTCAAATTCGAATTCAAAGTTTCGAAGTTTTTAATGGTTGTCAATAGTAGAGAGTCAAACAACTTCAAAATTTATTGTTTGACAATTTCAATTCGAACACCAATTGTGCAACGTGAAAGGAAGTTGCTAAGTTAAAACTCCATAGTAAAACGATTGAAATCTATTGATGAATTTTCTAAAGAAAAAAATGGATAAAGTAGATGAGAAAATAGAGAAAAAAATAGAGAAAATCGAAGGAAGAAAAATAGGATTGGGGAAAGAATAGAGAATGTGTATGTATGTATGTGTGTGCGTGAGAGAGAGAGAGATGGAAGAGAGAATAACTAATATTCCATTTCAATTCCTAATATAAAATGATACTTATTAATACTAATTTGTATATAATTGAAAAATTATATATCAATTTGTGATTAAATTAACTAAATCATAAACAATGAGAGTAAATAAGTTTCTAATATAGTATATATAGGTAAAAAAAAAATCAGATTATATATACACATACATAAACAGAACACATATTTTTCTTGAAAATCTACACAATATAGCCGCTCAACAAATAATAGCCGAATATATATATTTTGTACATAGTTCATGTATATGTTTTTTATAAATTTTGGCTAGCGGATATAATTATTTTGGCTGACCGGCCAATTATGTTAAAAGCCCTATTGTTTCTTGTCATTTTTCATTGTTATACATTAAGTAAGTACTAAAAGTTTAAAATTAATATAAAGTCACCAGACATGTAGCGAAATTGAACAATTCTTTAGTCTGACTATGATATAAGCTTACAAAATTTCGTAATTTAAAGAATAGCATGATAGTTAACAGGAAAGACATGAATCCAATTGAGCAGCAGTGACAGGAGGTTGTTGGACTCAATACAGTTCAAATTGTGATCCCTTAATACTCAGTTTAATCCTACACGAAGAGATAGATAGATTTTATGTATAAGTCTATGAATAAAGCTTATATGCACCCGATGTTTAAGAAATAGTGACGATACATTTTTTCTTCTTCATAATTTCCTATAATAAATAACCATTTGGTCCATTTCATCAAATGCAAAACATCTAAATCACTTGAATGAAAGATTGTTCAACATCCCACCTATATTTTGTTTATGTTATATGTGTATGACCCAAAATTTAAATCTAGGTTTTAATACAGTTAGGGTTAATCCAAGTTAATATTAATACTCAAATGATAGATCTAGTCTATTTATAAAGAATACCATATGTGTGCTAGTGGATAGCAATAAATAAGGGCAATAATGGAGTAATGAATGATTCAAGAATATGATAGAAGATAATTAATGATAATAAAAGATATTTGAGTAAATAAATGGATAAAGGTCGCCCGACAGGGGTGGGGTTTCCCCAATTATTCTTCTGACTATGAAGGATAATGATAAGCATTGGAATATTCCGATTCTTCTTGGATCAGGGAAGAAAAGATAGATATAGATGTAAAAAGGCAAGCTTTGTATGTATACGATAAAAGAGAGAATCTTCAGAGAATGTCAATATTGTTGTTTACAAAAAGTGTCCAATCCCCTTCTATAACTACATATCTTCCTATTTATAAGGGTACACGGACCATAAAACCCTAGATAGTATAACTGGGAGAAATATTCACTAGAATATTCTCTACAGAATATAAATCCTGGAACTAGCCATTACTGCACGCCGAAGAGAGGTTCTTGTCCTCATCCTTATCTTTGTCATTATAGAACTACCTCGACCTCGTCGACGACCTGCCATCTTCTCGTGATGTACCTTTTGAAATCAAGTTAACATGTCATATCGAAGACACGTGACAACCTCCAAAGATTTTATTTCCGTTGACCTAGTCAACATATGATATGAAGTTTTTTGCCCATACAGTTAGTCCCTCCGCTTATTGAGGTCGTCCTCATGAGCGGGTTCGATGAACGGATAACCTCGATCGTGGTCGTTGTAAAAGGCGAACGACGTAGCACTTCAAGGGCCGCAAGTTTCAAACCCTTAATTTTCCCGGGTAACTTCTGGAACAAGCTTGTTCTTTTACGGGACGTGATGTCATGATGACGTCTGTTCCCGATACGTCGCGTCGGTACATGCACAACCTTTTTATTGGCTCTGCCATTTTTATTTTCGGCTGCATTTATGGTTACCCACACCGGTTTCGAGATTTCTCCTCTATAAAAAGGGAGATGATCATTCAAACCCGAACTTTACCGTCATTGTTTGCAGCTCTGAATTGTTTTTGCTTTCATCGAATTTTCCTCCCCACTTATCACCTTACAACTTTTCTCTCCATATTTTCAGTTTTCTTCTTCCAACTTTTTTCACATTTCATAATCATGTCAAAATAAATTCTGGTGTTATTGAGGAAACTCAACCCACTCCGTTGGCTGTTGTGTTTCTCGTTCATGGAAGAGACACCATCTCCACCGTTGAAGAGGAGGTTCTCCCTTCAGTAGAGGAAATTATTCCCCGCAATCCTGATGCAAAATCGGATTTTCAACGGCCGCTAGAGGTGATGACTGAGATTTTCCAATCTTCCATGATGGCTAAGCTTCAAGTACGGCCTTCCCCACCAAGTGGAGCTATTACCTGCAAATAACAATGAAGTGCACGCTCACTGCCTCGGGTCCTGCGCTATCTACGCTTACCCGTTCACCATTAGCTATTCGTTCCTTCCTCCTCCAGCGGAGGAGGAGTTTTGTCACTTTTATCGGGTCTGCCCCGCTCAGCTCTCCCCCTACGTATACAAAGTGATTAAGATCCTGTTGAATTTTGCCGAGATGGCTGGCACCGAGATCACGGTGCCACATTTAATACCTCTGTTCGCGCCCAGCTTTTACCGAGGCACGATGCTGAACCTGCGACAAAGTGAAGGCAAGTACTTAGTAGTTAAAATGGACGACAAATGTAGTCGACAATTTTGGCTAGACTTTTTTTTGTCAAGACCAAGGTCATTTTGGCCGATGCCGAAGATTTCCCTGGGGCCTGGAACTGCTCTTGTAAGTATTCGTATTCTTGCTTTTACCCTTTTTGAACAGTCGTATAATCCGAATTTGTGGACTAATCCTTCTCGTTTTGCAGCTACTGATCGACCTCTTCAGTTGGTGATGAATCTTACTGATTAGGTTAGACAAGTCTTTCCCTGTATTATGGGGATCCGTGATTGGCCGAGCTTCTGGCAAAAGCTCAAACTGGCCTTCCCATCGACATGTAATTTGCTCTTCTGGTCGAGGTTACATTTGTACTCGCGAATTTTATGATGCTCATCTTTTTTTGTTTCCTCTAGGTTTTGTTAGGGGGGCTGCCAGAAGGAACATGAAGCCTACGCCTTCTTTTGTTAGGTCGTCTAAGGATGCTTCTCAAACTAATAGGGAGAAAGGCAAGGGTCTCGTTGAACAAGGTGATGAATCCGGCTATGATCTCGACTTCGAAGACCTTAAGATGATCGATAGCGGAACTAATTCGAGGTTAGGATAGAGGGGTGATCAAGAACTATCACGATTCCCATGAATAGTGATTTGTTAAAAGACACCAGGGACATGGTTAATGCCCTCGGCCCCCTCTTCTCCGAAGCCGAGCATGTGACTCTTCGAGAGTTGAGAGACTACACTTTATCGAAGAGCATCACCGACCTCGCTATCAAGGTAAGTGTCGTCGTTATTCATTCTTTCTTTTTTGCTTCGATTTGCTTCTAAGTTTTTTCTTACTTTTGTTTGGTTTTCAGAACATTATCCTAGAGATCGAGAGTATGCAGAGAGAGAAGAAGAGACAGGAGATCTACCAGAGACTGCGGACTAAATCTGCGGTATTCTGCAGAAAATACAAGGATG